AGTGTATTTTATTGGAAGGAATAATATAATTAGTTTATCACCTTTTTAAATTAAAGTTTATGGGTTTGAGAAAATTAGCAGTGCTGATTAATATTTTGGAGTTAGAAATATACTTTCGTATGCTTTATTCTATATTGAGTTTTTGTAGATCAAGAATTGTTGGGTTTTGTTTTTTTTTTTTTCATTTGTTTGGTCATGGATAGTTTTTGTTTTTCACAGGCATTAGAAAGAAACCAACACAGATGGCTGTGTTTCTCATTAAATCTAATGTTCACTGACCCTCTGAACCTATATTGTTAGTTTATAAGTTTTCTTACTGGAACTGAGTAACGTTGACTCCCTTGGATGCAGGAATTTCTTTCATGGCCTGCTCAATTTGACATGTCCTGTGAAAAGGAACCCTAGACTCACATAAAGTCGCTTCATACAATAATGAAGTGGGAGTTGCTGAAATTTTTAATGACTACTTGCCCCATTTCAACCTCTGCTAAGCTCTTGTGTAAATGAGGGCTGATCTTTTCTTGGTGGTAGTTGAAGGCTTCAGAAACTTTTAAGGCAGAAAATGCCACAAGTACTAGTAGCACAAACCAGTTCACCAAAGCCACCAGGACAGCAAGCTATAACGTTCTGGATCCTTGAGGGTGGCCTTTTGACTGAATGCAAATTTTACAGAACAAATCCTTCTAATAAAGGGATTTGTTCTGTGAAGTTTGGATTCGGTTGAGGGGCCGCACTTGGGGATCTGGAGGGCCACATGTGCCCTTTAGGCCACAGGTTTCTCACCCCAATACCTTTTATTTATAACCAGATCTACCTACCTTGATTCCACTGGAATGTAAGCTTTCGGAGAAGCTTTGTTTGTTTTATTCATTCAGTACCTGGAATATTGCTTGGTATATAGGAGTAAATATGTAATATTTAGCAATAAATATTCCTTGGATAAATGAAGCTTTTCCTTTGTTCATTGCACAAATCCCTTCCAATCTTCTCCCCTGACTTTTCTCCCTAAATTGGGGCTAGCTAAGGCTCATGTTGTGCTACCCCAGTTACTGTTAACTTCATTTGCCTGTGGCTTTTCCCCTTAACCGGAGCTACTCTAAGTAATACTTGTACAATCTCAGCAAAATCGTGTCTAATGCTTAGTAGAACTGAAGCTGTGCCACTGGTTCATGATCATCCTTGTGATCCCCAAAATCTTAAAACTATGCAGTTCCTCCTTATTTTGTTCGCCTACCTTAATGTCTTAGTGAAAGGTACATATTTACTGGCTTTGCCACATTTTGTTTCTTCTTATTAAGTCTAATATGTTCTTCTGCCATATTAGTTTCTCTTCTGATTAATACTATTAATATATGCAACTGTAACTAGATTTCATGTGTTAGAATTGATTATTTGCAACCTGCCTTGATGCTTAAATTCTTGATTAATTTTGCTGGGGTGGGACTGAGTAGATGTTTTAATTTTTGGATTAGGGATAAATAATGTAGAATCATTTGGTCATTCATAGAAACAAAAATTTTGTTCCTATTGGTGTTGTAATTCTAGCTCAACCAATAAAACCCATTTTGCAAAAGCAAATCTTTCAAATTTTTGTAAACATTCAAAAGACTTCAAATGTTTATACTTATAGGTGACAAAGTTGTGTATATTTTCCTGTAGGAGTGAGTTGGAACATCTGCAGTATAAAGTGTTGCAGGAAAGAGAGAACTATCAACAGTGTTCTCAGTTAAGCAAAGCAAAATCAGTAGTACCTTCATTTAGCATAAATGACAAATTTACATTAAATAAAGATGATGCCAGCTACACCCTTATCTTAGAGGTGCAGACTGCAATAGATAATGTCTTAATACAGGTAAGCAAAATATCTGCTTTCTTAGTTATATGACGATCTATTTTGCAAACCGATCATAAGCACTAATTATTATTGAATGCTTTTAGTGTTAGTAATTTTGAATGTTTATGGCTTTTTAGTATTCTATTAGGTAATCAGTTTGCTCATAATTTATTGGAATTATGTCATTACATTTATTTGTCCTATACTTAATAAACAAACAAAAGATGTACTTAATTTTCAGGGAAAGATAGAAAGGACAGTAAGGATTTTCTTGTTTAGCTACCCTCTGAGAGAATCTTAACAGAGATGTGACTTAGAAAACTGCTGTATTTAATGCCTTTATTAGAACTTCTTTAAAAAGCCCCAAACACTAAATTGATAGCTTATAGTACAGCTTGCTCTTTAACTTAATAGTTTCTAGGTAGGTTAATAGACAAAGTAGATAATC